ACGCCACTACTTAAAAATTTTGAACCACTCGCGGGCAAGAATTTTTCAATTTTTCTTACAGCTTTAGCAACCCCCAGTCGCTCCACCTCGGCCTCCATCATACCTATAGCTCGAGCTCTGTCCCTTGAGCTTCGCGCCATCAGAATCTCAGACACTGTTTATTTTTACTGGTTGACAGTTTTCTATAATATCTGTACTGCTGAACTGTACAGTGAAAACTGTATGTCTCCGGTCTAATACCGACGAGACTGCGGGCTCGATAGCTCAATGGTTAAGGCGTTCACCTCTTACCGGAGAGACGCGAGTTCGAAACTCGAGTGCGGCAGCAATTTCAGCAGCAATACTGGAGTTTGGTATCACTAGCCGATGACGGCAAATAAGCCAGAAATGGCCATTGTAGTGTCCCATGCCTTTGTCGGTAATGTCCTTCTGCCTACATCCTAGCCGCCCCGCGGTGGAGGCTCGAGTGAGAGTTCTAATGGCAACATGGACGAACGAGTGTGTCCTCTATCAGATCAGTGAACGCGTATCTGCTACAGTAAGCACTGTGTAAAAACAAATCAGCAAACAACGAGGCTAACAAATGCTTAAGTATTATTGCTGAATATTTAATTATAAATAAATTATTGAACTTTTAAAAAACGCAAATAATTCTGGGACACCCTATATAGGACCAGATGGGAAACTCCTATTGCATATTGTAACCAGGCCAGTTTTATGGTCATCGACCCCATTCACATTTAAGTTAGCCCGCTTTCAAGGTCAACGAGGAAAGACAACCATGAAGGGATTCTCTCTCCCTTTCGAGTAAAACGAGACAATATGAGAAGGGCATGAGGGGCAACGGTGCGCAAAAGACTAGAAGGGAAAAAAGAGAAAGAAGAACAGGCTAGAACGCAGAGCCAGAGAGTGCAGGCGACCAACCTTAAGCTTGAATTGGCACTGAGCCAGATTAACGCGGAAGGGTACACGTTGAAGATCGATACTGGTGTGTTCCGGTTCACCGGGTTTCTCCCGGAGAAGCAGCTGTTCGAGCAGGCCCAACGCCTCCTCGTATTTGGCGGCGGCCTCGAACCACTTGCCCGCAGCATAGAGGTCGTTGCCCTCTTTACGCAGGCTGGGCACCGTCATGGCTTTCTCCTCCGGAGTCATAATCCAGGTCTCTTTGCGCGCCTGGCTCGGCAGTATGACCCTTGAGGATAAAATAATTACACAAAATCCGGTTACTCAGGCGTCGGCTGACAAGTCAGTTTTACGGTCTCGAAATCATGGTGATGTACTCTTGTAGGCGGAAGTAGATCACA